AGGGAGGGGAGAGAAGACAGGGAGGGGAGAGAAGACAGGGAGGGGAGAGAAGACAGGGAGGGGGAGAGAAGACAGGGAGGGGAGAGAAGACAGGGAGGGGAGAGAAGACAGGGGGAGAGAAGACGGGGAGGGGGAGAGAAGACGGGGAGGGAAGAGAAGACAGGGAGGGGGAGAAGGGACCAGAAACCTGAGGTAGCTGTCTGGTGAGTGATGGGGAACAAGAGTATTATAACGTCAGGAAAGCAAATTGTAGGGTTGTTTGATAATTATAAAACAGTACTAATGGGACCAACATCTCACAATCATCTAGTCAGTTCAACCCAGGAACACCAACATGACTCAGCAACAGAAACCGTTCGATGAATTTGCCACATTAATGGACTAAAAGGAAGAAAGACCTGCACAATCCTTTAAAAATACTTCCCAAAAGGCAGTTGAGGATGGAGTAGCCTACATAGGACTTCTATATTCTTTTTAAAAGTAGGAGCAGAGAGGAACCTCCTTAAATTGATAGAGCAAGCATGTTTTAGCCCCCACCCCAAGGTAAGCCAAGTATGGTGACACAAATATTCCCAGAACTCAGGAAGTAGAGGCAGGAGGATTGTGAGTTAAAAGTCACCTGGATATATCACAGACCCTATCTCAACCCTCTCCACTCCCCTACCCCCACCAAATCCCCAGGGAAACCATGCTTTTAGTAAGGGAATTTCAGGGCTTGGGGGGAGACTTAAATGCTTGCTGACACTGATGCTGTCTAATGTGATCACGGACATCTTGGTCATCCCAATAGAACGAGAAAAGAAAATGAGATGCATGGGACCAAAGGGAAGACATATATTGTCATTACTTGCTAGTGATGTTAGTTAGCTTTTAGTTGCAACTGATATGACATTCCATCAAGTTTCTGAGTAAATGGGTTGGAGGGAAAAAAAACATTTCTTTATAATGGTAATGCCACCAAGAGATGTAATAGAAACCATTACTTATAATAATTGCAAGAACCATGAAACCACTAGGAAATAGCAAAGAATGCTCCCAGGATCCACTCAGGCCTGTTCTGTGTGTCTAATGAATATGTCCTGTGTTGCTGGAAGGCACCTCACTGCCCACCCTCAGCCCTTCTTCTGGGTGATACAGGCATGAGCCTGTGGGGCATGATCTACTTGACTAATTTAGAAGCCAAGAACCAGGCGTGGTGACAGAAGAGGGGGAGGAGCCACAGCTGACCCCTGAAAACAGAGGCACTAGATAGACTGGGGAGAGAGGGGTGCTCTGGGGTCCCTGACGGTTTGAGCCTGGGCGCTGCAGGACTTGAGGGCATTTCTTCCTGGCTGCTCTATAGTGATATATTGTGTATCAAATAAAGCTTGCCTGAGGATCAGAGGACAAAGCCAGCCACTAGATTAAACATAGAGACCAGGCACACACCTTTAATCCTAGCACTCATGAGGCAGAGATCTGTCTGGATCTCTGTGAGTTCAAAGCCACCCTGGTCTACATGAGATTGATTCAGTCTAGGAGAGAAACAGCCAGGCAGGGGTGGCACACACCTTTAATCCCAGTACTGGGAAGCACATACTCCTTTAATCCCAGCACTTGAGATCTCATGCCTTTGCTACCAGTATTTGGGAAGCAAACACGCCATTAATCCCAGCACTAGGAAGGAAGTGAAATGGCTGGGTGGAGAAAGGCATTTTAAGGCACGAGGAGATAGGAACTAAGGCCTTTCGGCTGAGGACTCAAACATTCAGTCAGAGGATTCGTGGAGACAGGATCTCGCCTTCCATTCGGCCTGAGGGTTTTGTAGTGGTGAGAAGTTTCTCTAGTGGCTTGTTCCTTTGTCTCTCTGATCTTTCAGCATTTTCCCCAATATCAGGCTCTGGGTTTTTATTATAAGACCAATTAAGATTCGTACGACACTGCTCTCGTACTCAGCATCTCTCCTGGTTTTCCATTCTGGGAATCGGGGAGGTGAATAGCTGCTAGAGTAGAACACCAAAACAGTGGAGCAGAGACAGCCTTCCCTGGCCTTAGACCTTCTCCACAGCCCAGCCAGCTCACCCCCCCATCCACCCCTCCCTGCTCTCATCTGGGTAGAGTCCTTGGCTGAAGCCAGATACATACCCCTCTCTCAAGTGACTTTGGATCTGGACAAGTAGAAAGGAAGGCAAGGCCCTACTCTTGGGCACAGCCTTCAAAGTTCTAGTTAGTGACACAATGAGGTAGAATACCGTCACTCTGTCATCCTGAGTGAGATGCTCAGGATGGGCAGGTAATCCTAAGGGCCTCAGATACCCAGGTCCCTCTTTGTGACCCTATCATCCTCAGTATGTAAATTCTGTCTCATTGCATGAAGAAGCTGCCAAGTGCCAGTCGTCAGGTTTCACTTCAGCCTGTAGAAAGGGGCGTTCCGCTGCAGGGAACTTGGTAAAATGGCCACACTCATTGTCAGGCAGGAGCGTGACTATGCTCTCTCTAAGAATGAAGGGCTCTGCTGCTGAGGGATCTTCTGAGTCTCATCAGTTCCTACAATCTGCAAAGCCAGATTGCAACCCAGGGACCCTGAGGTGCCCCTGCGTTGTCTCTGCCACAGCAAGCACAGTGAATACCTGACTTCCCTGAAACACTGGGTTTGACAGAAGATGGCCTAGGGCTGAGCTGCCTCTCTGCGAACTGTCCATCATTATGGTCTGGGATCTCCAAGTTCTCCAATGGGTAGGACATTCAGAGATTGGGCTGCTCAGGAAAAGTCCTCAACTAACACCATTGAAAACACCCACATAAACCCACCTGCCCTGCACAGTTTTCTACTGGGTCAGACTGGCAGCCAGCCCCAG